AAATGGAATCATCAAGCCTAATGGGTCCAAAATTATAGCAACTTGACAGTATCATTCGCCTGGTGAAAAAAATCTGGAAATAGTGTTTCTATGTCTGCCCAGGATATATCTTTCCTCATTCTTAAACCTCGCTTCTTTTTGGAAAAGATGAATGAAACTTGTCAAAATAAGTATCACTAACAGGATCCCAGTTTAGACCTAAAACCCTTTCCTTTGCTAAATCAATGTTGTCCTGAACCTTCTGACACAATCTAACTGTAGAAAATTATCAAAGTCCTTTTCCATCTTTAGAACATAAAGAAGCATATATTTGTACCCTTCGGAGTTCGACATTTTCTCAATAACTCCCATTTTCCTAAATATCATCTTTGCTATCAGCATTTCCAATGATTTCTTAATTTCCATGTCACTATCAACGGTGGCTATCTCATCATACAAAGATTAGAAAAAAACAGTTTTCCTTTAAGTGTTCCACATACCTTGATTAGCTCCTCCATCTTGAAATGCAACGTGTTGAATTGTATCATCAAGTGTCTTGGTGTGTAGAATCTGTCCTCAGGGGATGTGATACGTGAGGCTGCTGTACCAGTTTTTTCAACCTGTAAAGTTTGTAACTTATAAGTAGCCATAAAAAAAGAATATTCCCAAAGACACACGTTACATAATTGCAATGCTGACACACATGAAACACAGCCAAATCAAAGAGACTGAAGAAAAAAACATCACTGGAAATCACTTTGTATTGGATTATGTTTCATTAATTTGTACGGTGCCATCCTTTATTTGTGGTAGAATGGAATATGCAGTTGTAGAGATCAGTTATTCTGCTTGTTAAGGAATAATACTTGACGCTCACCAGACAAGGCAATAAGTGTTATGATAAATTGTAATATGATTCAATGTTGTTTCATTTCATGGAATTTAATTATATGACATTGCTTAAAATGTGTTAGGATACTAGATTTTGGATAAGCCTTTACCTAAGAAAGTAAATTTAATATTTGAAAACTAAATTTTGTACAAGTTTTATATGGAATAGATTTCAAATTCATATACAAATGATTTACATGATTACATGTATTTAATTTTCTCTTTATTTCTGATCAATGCCTGTAAAATGTAAAATTAGCATGTGCATGTGCTGATGTCAATGTTTTATTATTTTATTTTTACTTATTTCCAAACAATGCCTGTGAAATGTTTGCATGTGCATGTGCTGATGTCAATGTTATTTCAGGGCGAAATAAATGATTACAACAAGCTGTGTTTTTCTGGTGACCCGTGAAACAACTTCTCTTTCCTCCCTAATTGTCTATGCAGTTTATTACCTTCTGCTCCTATACTAGGAATTCAACTAACTTGGGAAATACTGGGATTCTAAGATCAAGTTTCTGACAAGCAAGTGCCCATTCCCTTTCAAGTGTTCCACGTACCTTGATGAGTTCCTCCGCCTTGAAATAAAACGTGTTGAATTGTATCATCAAGTCTCTTGCGGTGTAGACTCTGTCCTCAGGAGAAGTGATACAAGAGGCTGCTGTACCAGTTTATTCAACCTGTAAAGTTTTCAAACTTATAAGTAATCATAAACAAAAGAATATTCCCAAAGACGCACAAGTAACGTAATTGCAATGCTGACCCACACATGAAACACAGCCTAATTAAGGAGAGAACATGGAAAATATCCCAATGATCATAAACTTTGCAAGACACTTCTACTGTTTATAAAGAATTACACATGAAACTTGGCAATGGATCTAAAGAAATTGTCAGGAAATTTAGTAAACAACTTAATAAGCAAAGGTATGCATGACCCTCATTGTTATCCTTATCCACAATATGCTATTGAATTACATCATATACTTACACCCTCGCGTATCCTTAGGTGACGCTGCCACACAATCATGGAAAGATAGCTGCCACCATTCAACCTAAAATACATGCATTATTAAAATTCAATTCCCCTTTTCTGTGTTAATATAACATACGCCTCATTTAAAAGATTCACAGTACCGTATGACAAATATGTGCCTTTGAAATTGTAATATCACTGGTAGAGGTTAAAGAGACCAACGAGCATAGATGGAGGAAAATGGATACTGCCATCTTAGAGCGAAAAAAAAATAGATGGGGATAGAATATATTTTACGATGCAGAGGCCTTATATTTACCGTTACATGGAAAAAAAAATGCAGCGCTATGTGCCGCATAGAGACTAAGTCCAAAACACCCTTCTGCAGCCAGAGTTCCTTGTTTATGTCTACATTTTCAGACCCTTGGCTTGCATGTCTATAGTAGACGTTCTCTGCAAAAAGACAATTTTATAGTTTTCTATAAAAATAATCCATTTAACTTAATCATGCAAGTATAATATGCATTCTTATTTTTCATGATACCTATGTTTAGCCAGGCTTGATTTCAATTACAGTAACTGCAGCTGTTACTGCTATATTTGAAGATTTGAGAGGTTTTGCAGCCACACCCATAACAAAATAGAAATAAACTACATCTCTATTATCAGGAAATAATTAATATTCTTAACATACCATTTCTTAATCTAAACAAAAAGCTCTCATGTTACATTAACATTGACACTACTCATTTCCGTGCACAATTGTAATTCAGAACTCAAAGCACTATCCTTTAGCAATGGTAACCTTTAAATACTTACAGCTAAGGTCTTGGTCTGGGGAGGCATGAGGAAGAAGTCTAGAATCTGAGTTTCCATTAGTATAATTTCCAGATGAGACGTGGACACTGCGTACCCTGTAGTTTCTACCGAGATGTGCACAACTCTTCTGGAATAAACTTGGTATTTGAATAACTTCAAGCCAATTAGCACATCTAAAAAGAAAGTCAAAATACAGTAAAATAAATACGTTCATATGTAACATAAATGCACAATTAAATTCTCTGCAAATGGCCTGCCTATGACAGAGAGGATCCATTTCAATACTATGAAAAACAAAACATTATTATAAAAAATTAAATACATTATGTGAAGTCAGTATCAGCTTTACAAATCAAGTTCCAGAAAAATAGTAAATGGTTTCAACTGCAATTGAAATAGGTACTGGATATCGAGTTACTATGAGGGCAGATAGGCCTATTTCTACTGCATAGGTTTTAGATTTCCTTATCCAAATTAGAAATGAAAAATTATGTGTGAGTGTGTGTGAGTGTGTGTGAGTGTGTGTGTGTGTGTGTGTGTGTGTGTGTGTGTGTGTGTGTGTGTGTGTGTGTGTGTGTGTGTGTGTGTGTGTGTGTGTGTGTGTGTGTGTGTGTGTGTGTGTGTGTGTGTGTTGTGTGTGTGTGTGTGTGTGTGTGTGTGTGTGTGTGTGTGTGTGTGTGTGTGTGTGTGTGTGTGTGTGTGTGTTGTGTGTGTGTGTGTGTGTGTGTGTGTGTGTGTGTGTGTGTGTGTGTGAGTGTGAGTGTGTGTGTGTGTGAGTGTGTGTGTGTGTGCATGTGTGTGTGAGTGTGTGAGTGTGAGTGTGAGAGTGTGTGTGTGTATTTAAATATAAATATAAATGTAAATATATATATATACTACCTTACCGAACTCTTATGGTTTTGTGGGAAAAGAGGTATTAGGTAATTGTTACAGTTTTCCGGCATTGTTTCTTCTATGAATGAATCGTTCAGGAGATTGAGTACCATTTCCCCATCGACAATCTTGATTTGATAGTCCCGTTAGCTGGGGAGGGCATGATTAGTGTTATTTAACCCCGCATTTTCCCTGGAACCTTTCATGCCCTCCCCTGCTATCGGGGCCAAGCTTGTCGCTAACGGGGGGTTTCCACACAATAAAAACTATATATCTGCAATGTGGACAGTGAGAGGAATCCAACGATACCAAAATCATCGATATCAGAGCGGCGGAGATAATATAGAAAATTACCAAAACGTATTTGTTGGAAATTAGCAGATCACATCATTGCATTATACTAAATATTTCCTCCTTTTGTAATTCCTTGCATGATCTTAAATCATCACACAAATATACATAGAACATTAAATCTTAGTGTGATTTGACATTTCGTTAGGTATGGATGCATTTAATTAACTTTTATGGAACAATAATCTCGCCATACGGTAAAAAATTAGTGTTATTCAAAAACGAATATCAAAAAACTGTAAACAAAGATCCAGAAAAGATATTGACAGAAGAAGAAAGAAAGAGATTACTAAACCTCCCAGGCAACACAGACATAAATACATATTAATGAACTGAATTGGCCAAAAAGAAATGCAAAAAGCGCGTGGGCCAGACGAGATACCTTATGAATTTTATAAATATGCCCCAGAACAAATAATTGAAAAAATATTGAATGTATTTAACCAATATTGGAACAAAGGTCAATATCCTAAAAAATATAAGAACATAATAAGAAATCCTATCAACAAACCAGGAAAAATTCAGCAGAAGTAGAATCATATATGTATATCAGTAAAATTTCGATTTTAGGAAAGATCTTTGAAAATATAATAACAAAGAGACAATTGGTGGCTGGAGACAAATGATATATTAGATAAAAATCTTACAGCTTTAGAGCAAACTAAAACACCATAGAAGCTCTACAAATGATAGAGTCACACATAAATACTGCAATAATAGAAAAAAACAACAACAAAAAAAAACGCATTGCTAGCTTGCACAGACCTTCAAAAAGCTTTTGATACTGTAAACCATGATGCATTATTAACAAAAATGTCAAGACTAGGCATTACAGGTAACTCACTAAATTGGATTTATGATTTTCTTAAAGAAAGAACTTATCAAATGACAATAGGAGAAGAAAATTTTGAAAAAGGAACAATGTCAACAGGAGTACCCAGGGATCCCCTTTAAGCCCAACCTTATTATGGTTACAGATTTGAACTTGCCAGAAAACATACACAAAATCATTTATGCAGATGATATAACTTTAATAACAAACAAAGATATATTAGAAGCAAACAATAATATGGAGAGAGCCTTAAACATTCTTAAAACATGGACAACA